CACGGAGACCTGCCCAGTTTAAGAAGTTAGTGATTGTCAGAGAGAAGACACCCTTTGAGGTAGTTGCCTCCAAGGTGGCAGGGCCCTCGGAGATAGAGCGTTGAAGTGTGATCACCCACTCTACAGTGAGATCTTGGGTGATGTAGTTTGAATCACCATGTTCCTGTAACTACTAACATATGCTTCTATAAGTAGTTCCAATAAAATCTTTGATTCATCAAATGAAACTTGAGTGGGACATTTCATCGGTCAGCTATCTCTGCCATATCTAGGTTAATAGACAATTGTTCAAATCTCTTCATGAAAATTTACACACCACCAATCTCTTCTGCAATGGAACCCATCTTTAGTGATTGAAACTGTCTTTCTAAATGATTGCTTAAACTATTCTCTAATTTTATAATTACATTTTCATATAAATTATTATAAAATACAACAATTAAGGATCCTTTAGTTATTGTGATAAAAATACACATAAAATTTATCATTGTAACTATTTTCCTTGATGTTAGTTCTAACCACTTCAAGTATTTAGTCCAGAAACATTGAAACATCCCTCCTGTTGTGCACCTATTGTATCCATCCATCCTTCCCACTTCTTCATCTCTCCAACATGAGACTCTATTTCCATTGAATGCAAACTGCTTACTTCCTATATTCCCAGTATCAGGATGCTACCCATCCATTTGGAGTCCTGTAGTCATGTGATGCTTGTCCTCCTCCCCCCTTCATATAATACAATGTCCTCAAGATTCATCCATGCTATTGTCTGTATCAAAAGTGTATTTTTCTAAGTGTAAAAAATATGCTAGTGTATATAAGTGTGTGATTGCATGTGTGTGTGTGTGTCCAATGATCTACCCACTAATCCGTGGACTGATATTGCTTCCACTTTTGATTGCTATGGTGTAGTTCACTGTAGTACTAGTATCTCTTCTAGCCTACTCTCACTCTTCAGCACATGTATATTAAAAAGTTGAGTTGAGGGATTAGAGAACAATTCTGTGCTTAAAGCTTTGAGGAACGTCTACGTTCTTCTCTACGGTGACTGGCCAAACCCTTTTAATCTCCCACTAGCAATACATACACAAGATAATTTGATGTCTCTGAGCCCTGCTAACACTAGTTGTCTAGTTTCTTTTTCCAAATAGCCATCCTAAGAAGTGTAATATGTAAATTCTTTTAATTCTATTTTTTTTTTAAATTGAAAATAGAGTCTTATCTCATGCAATACATCCCAACCGGTTTCCCTTCCCCACACTTGTCCCAGCTCTCACCCCGCAACTTCACCTCCCCACCACCCCGCCCATCCACTGTCCCTTTGTTTCCATTTCAGATGTGAATATATGGTGCAATTTTGCTCCCTTTTGCTGTTAATTTGCTGCTTTCTAATACTGAGCCAGGCAAAACATTGTTCTCCACGGTTATAAGAAGTTAATTCCAGTTACTAAATCCTATGATTAAAAAAAAGCCCTATTCAAAGCTCGGACGGATAATCTTTTCCAATAATTTACCTAAAGTTAAAAAAGCAAAGTTCAAGCTTTGCCTGCACGGGTGACGATAGCGCAGGATCGGGCAGTTTAGAGTGTTTTGAAGACAGGTTCTCTATGAGTTTAGCATCTTCAGCTCCGGTGCTTCAAAGATCAGTTCCATGTAAGGTAAAGATGCTGTGACTAAACTGACAAGAATCACATCTAAAATGAAGTTCTGTGTTCCATGGCCACAGGATTTACAGATAGCCATTAAGTATGATGTCTCATAGCTGGAAAAAAAAAAGCAAGTGAGAAATGAAATCAAATAAACTGCTATTTATAGTCCCTGAATTAGCTGAAAAAACAATGTTTTTTCTTAAACTTCTGAAGTGCAAGTCATTCTCTCGGAGATCTGTTTGTCTCACAAACCTGATGGGACTGTGAAGTTCCTTGAAAAATCAATGGGTTCCTTGTCTCACTGCCTCTAAGCAAGAGTACCAATTAGAAGCTGTGGCACAAACTCAGAAGACTTACTTATCGATTTCTGGAACTTGACTCACTGAGTGCTTGAGTCCTTATTCCCGGGCATCTTTTAAACTGCTCATTCTCCAGTCAGTTATTGAAAATATTTACCAAATGAAGGAACCAATAACATCCTACAAGCAATGACAGTTGTCAGTGGGTCTTGTGTAGTGTGGAGTAGGACTAATTTCATTTCCTGCATTTGAGTTTGTGTGTATCCATGGCATACCCAGGGGAAGATGTTCATCAGAAATTCAATAAGAAGTTTTAGAGCTTCGATGAATTCAAATGGGAAATAATAGAGGGGGAAAAAGCACTGATGTTGAATACCAGAAGCCTGAGGCTGGGAGTGATGGGTGAAATGCCATTCCAATTCAATTGTAGAAATGAAATGATAAAATGAATTGAATCAGAATCCCCAGTAGACACTCACCTTTACAAATAACTAGAACTAGAGAAAAGATAGATTTATGGAAGACATGATCCACATGTCAAGGATGGACTTCTTCCGTTATGTTCCCCAAGTTTGCTTGCCATTCAGACAGCATTTCTAACTACCAAATCCCAGTACTATGGTACAATTGGCCAGAGCTCACCCAGGAGCCCTTGGGATAACTTAATCTTTATGCAGAAAGAAGGTCCACCATATTCTGTAGGTCTTTGAAAGGACTGAAGAATATGTATCCATCTCAAATATATCTCTGTATATCTAGAAATGCTAACTAAGTTTTGACTACTATAGGTAACTACCTATAATCTGTACTAAATTATGCATTACATTTTTAAATGAGCTATGTAAACACAATACCTAAACAAGAGGAGAAATACACATATCACAAAATTGACCTTAAATGGTATCAATAAATGAAAATCCATTCCAAAATAAAGTATTCATTTCTATACCATAATACCCTTTTTTCCTTAAAAAAAGAGATTGGTTGTGATCATTAACCATTTATAGCCAACCCCATTTAAATAAAAACAAACATTTATAGACAATATTTAAGAATTTGGGCATTGCTGTTTCCAAACTGCTTCCTGTTGGTTAGGGACCCTGTAATACCATGGGGGATCCTAAGAAGACGCAAAAATCCTGGCTGTAGTCTGCAAGGCTGCCTTGTCCCAGCTGTTTTGAATGTTGGATCAGCTGAGACTCTGCTTCAGGGGGTCTTGCTTGACCAAACCATCTTAGTCTGGAAGGAGTCCACAGCCACAGCCTTTCATTTTCTGTGAAAAAAAAAATAGAAATTGTTTTCCTCAGTAACCTGTCCTTAGACTTAAATTTTGAAGTCAAACATGTTTTAAAATATATGAATTGGGTTAGTTCAGCAGCGTTGATAATCAAGTGTATTGTAACAGCTGTTGTTCCTTCCTTAGCCATTGAGCAACTCAAAGACGACACAGCAGCACACAGTATCCAGACTCTGTGTATTTCCCATCTTTAGGTGGCTTTTTTATTACTCCATTTCTTTTACTTCTAGTTTTTCATTTTTTTGAGACAGTTTTTCTCTGTATAGGTTTGGCTGCCCTGGAATTCACTCTGGCCTTGAAATTACAGAATTCTGCTTGTCTTTGCCTCCCGGGATTAAAGGCAAGCACCACCACACCCAGCTTCTCTCTCTCTCTCTCTCTCTCTCTCTCTCTCTCTCTCTCTCTCTCTCTCTCTGCTTCTTTCTTTCTTTGTTTTTTTTTTAAACACTTTATCCTGTTTCTTTTTGTCTCCCAAGCCCTTGTATATTTTCAAACACACTGCAAACTTTTGGAGGTTATTCTTTATCTGAATGTGTCTTTATCTTTTTTCTGGACACGAGTCTTTTATCTGCTAAACAACTACATTGTTAAAATGAAAGCCACAGCTGTTTTAGCCACCATCTATCCAAGATGGCTGGGGTATGTTTACCGCCAGCACTGAGAGCTGTGATCACTGCCTTGGTCTATGCTGCCATCAAGCAGCATGCTGCCGGCTTGGAGATGTGGTCACTGCCACTGCCAGCTGCTCATACACACCATTCAGTTTTTAGCAGGATTTGCCACTTATGCCAAGTCAGGAAGCCTCCCTTAAAGGAGAAGCACAAGTCTCTGCTTGTCTCTAGCAAAACAGAGTCCACTCTAGAAAACTGCTGCTACCAAGAAGCCTTGCTTGTCTCTGTTCTTTTGTTTCTAAAATCCCTATTTAAGCCTTTGTCGAGTTTTAAGTGGAAGTTCTTAGTACCCACATTGCAGGCGCCATTTTGTTATGAGCAGTTTCCTGGCAGCCTGGTCCCAGAGCTGTGTCAGCCCCATAATATCACACAGAGACAGTGTGTTATAGAACTGTTGGCTGGTTACTAGCCTTTCTTATTGGCTAGCTCTGTGTTAAATATTAACCCACAATCACTAATATATGTGTTTCTATATGGTCTCATCTTACTGAAAAAGCCAAACTCTCGTCCACTCTTCCTGAGATCCCATCGTGACTCTACTACATTTCCCAGAATCCTCCACCTCTCCTAGTCCCGCCTATCTTGCTTTCCTGTAGGCAAACAGTGCTTTATTCATTAACCAATAAGAAAAACACATTTACAGAATGACATCTCCCATCACATATACAATATCAGAAATACAGAACTACTAAAGACACACAAACACACACACATACACACACACACACACACACACACACACACACACACACACACACTCGCGCGCGCTCTGGTCTTCTGTCCCATCACCTGGTTCCAGCCCAGCCCTGGGATCCTTCTTAATGGCTCAGCCTCTGTTCTCCAGCCTTAGTGTTGCCTGGTTCTGCTGGTATAATTACTGGGGAAGAGGCTTTGAAGTGTAAGGACCTAAAGTATGTGGAACGGGATGCCTCTCTTAGAAAAATGCCGCACTTTCTAGCCCTGTGCTGAGTCTAACTATGTATTGAGGTGTTGCATAAATCATTAGTTGAAATGATTCACTTTCTGGCAGGTTTATTTTCTCTCACAATTAAAAGTCCTTTGAAAAACTGAAGTTATCTTTCCATCAGTTGACAGGAGAGCCGTGCGCAATGAAAGAAACACCTCTAAATATGGCCAAGAAATACAGAAGTGATCCATGTCTTGAGTTGGAGGGCAGTGCTATGGTTTGCAACAGTCTGTCTTGGGTCCTACAGAAGCTAAGTTCAATGCAGCCCTCCATTGTCCCACAGCTTCCTGATCTTGCAGGTTTGTGCACAGAGAGCTGATGAATCTGCAGGGCTGTGTCTTTGCTGCTGGCACAGAAATACACAGCTGAGTCCCCCGGCTCCAGGGCAGACAGGTGAAGAAATAGCTGGGAGGTGTCTCGGCATTCAGGTAAGAAACAACTAGGTACAGTCTCGTTTCGAATCAGCTCTTTAAGTTTGTAGAGAAACATGAGCTCTGGGGGCTCTCCAGCACTCTGTTTATACCAGTACATTGCATTATTTCCCAGGTGTTGCTCACATTTCAAAGACTTATTATTGGCTCTTCCCATGACCAGATATCGTGGTGTCTGGATAGTTTTACTGTTCACGAGGGCTGTGGGAAGGAAAGGACAAAATTTATATAGACACAGTTCAGGAAGAAAGGTGGTGGCTTCAGCATAAGGAAATTTGGCGCTAGGAGCCGGTAGGACCCAAGACTCACCTGTCTCCAGGAGACATAGGAAGGCACAGATGAGAAGCCTGTATCTCATGGTGGAATCAGGCCCCAGGTGGGCATTGTGTAGCTAAGATACCCTTGATGAGAGCTGGGCAATGATTGGTGCCTGTGTCTATGATGTCACTATCCCTTTTAGCTTCCACAGCTTCAACAAATGTTTCCTTTTTCCCCTTTTGCAGTCAATTTAGATTGTACTAGGAGGAGAATTTACTGGGCATGGAAACGTTTTTAAAATGCCAACTCAACCTTTTAACCCTCAGCGGTATTTCTAGAAATTGTCCCCATGCTTGTAGCTACACTCTCAATGTACATTTTCACTACCACCCTCTTCCATGGCCCTCTCTAACACACCCATTTCTCCTTCAAACTGTCTCCTTCCTCTCCTGCTCAGTTGCAGTGAATGGCACCCTCAAAAGCCCTGCTTTGGTTCATGCTTAAGATGGATCGCCCAGCCTTGTGGAAGGTGGGGTGGTTGTGGGGATGATTAGATGACTTTGAAAGCATATTCATCATCTGAAGCGTGTGTCTGTGGTGTCACTCAGAAGCTAGATACTGGATGGGACACTGGAGGGAGCATAAAATAGATGAGGCAGCCTGGGAGCATGTTGTTTGAGGCATGGAGCTTGTCTAGGCTTAGAGGAAAGACACTGTGCATAAGATGCTGAAAGAGACATAATTTGATACTAGACCAAGGGAAATCGATTAGAAATTGATGCCAGTGTTTGTAATACGCCCACGCCTGAGACTTGCACCTGATAAGGAGTCCAGGTGAGTGAGATTCCCCCTTTCCCCACTCCCAATGACTTACCTTCCCCATCCCCAGCTTCAGAGAGATCCTTAGATCACAGCTCCATCCTGTGGCCAAAGTGGGCATTTATACCCTACAGGTCTCTGATTTCTGCTATGCAGAGGCTGGTGATGCCAGGATTCTTAGTAAGGAATCAAGTGGGTAGTAACTATGCAGCTTGTTTGGAGCTGATAAACTAAATTGGGTTATTTAGTCTTCAGTGGCCAACAACTAGGAGCAAGCAACAAAACATTATGTTCACCCACAGATTACCAGGACAATTCTATATATCCATAGCTAAGCAGAGAATAAAATTCTAATATATTTAAGGAAGTCATTTTGTATTATAGTGTTTAAATCATTTCATACGTGTAACATGTGATACTCTTCACCTATACAACCAGAGACACTGAAATGGAATAATGCCAATTCTGTCCTTTTCTGAAATGTCAGAAATGGAACCAGCTCCAAGTGTATTGCATTTGAACACTTAATTACTGGGTACTGGCTTTATTAAAATATATCAGTATTAAAGTGCAGGATTTTTATTTTTAGTCTGGAGAATGTGAAGGTAGAAATGGCCACATGAAGTGATTCATAACATCTAAATAAACTGGAACATTCACTTAAACTGTTGGTTATGTTTTACCAAATAATCATGGTCCATAGTGCTTGAGGATGAAAAATTCTAAGACAGCTAAATTTGGGGCAGAGAGTACTGGAAAGAAGCCCCAAAGAATCTGAGTAAATCAATCTTTTTTGAGAGAACACTATTAAATTTGTGGGTGCAGAGGATGGGCTACCTAAAGGTAAAGTGAAGAACATCCTGGAAGGTTGGAGAGCTGAGAAGTTTCGGCAGACATTTAGGACAAGAGGACTCTGACATTTGGGCCTCACTACATAGAAGATACTTTGGTTTCTACACAAAGTCTGTGAACTAGCAATAATAGCTACACACTAGGGTTCCCAAGTAGTAAGAGAGCCATGCTGAACTTGTCCCTACAAAATGCTGTATTCAAACACTAGGATAAAATAGTACTTCTGTAAGTGACTAACCCAGAATTTCCTATCCTGACATTATCACTATGAACAGCCCACATTAACTGCTTTATAGGACATCTTTCAGAATATTTATGTCTTCTCTTGGTGAGCCTCATCCACCTTGCCCATACAAGTGTTGTCTTGTACGAAAATACCAATTTGATCATCTGTTGAGGAGGACTCTGCAGGTGGTCGCAGCAGGCGGGGAAGTGAACCAGGAATCCGGAGAATGAAGACTTGTTTCGGTTTGGTTTTGTCAACCTGGATCAAACTTTGGGGAGCCTGATGACATATGATTTATTCCCAATGAATTTAAAGACAGTATAATTTTGGGGGGGAAGTTCCCTAATATAATACAGTCCCCAATGCACAAGGAAGTATAATTACATCAAAACTTGACTCAGAGTACCTGTGATTTCTTCCAGGAAGATGGGTTCTAGAGATAGGCTACCTGCACAACTTAAGAGCCTAAGGAATGATTGATATATATATATATCCTGCTCTTGGTCATACAGATAGAGTAGAGGTCATTTGGGCTGTTAACTGCCTCTGGTCCTGGTTGCAGTAACTTGGGGGAGGCCCTGGCTATACAGATAGTATGCAGATACTATTAAGTATCTGCAGTCCTGGAAAAGTACTATGTAGCTTCAGTCTGTTCCATATATAGCTGAAGTCCTTTCTGTATCTCAGACCTTCCTCCCATATCTACTGCTCCCTGCTCATGAAGAAGGTTGAAAGATGACAGAACAGTCATCAGCTGAGAAAACTGTATCAGCTGAGGACAAGGGGACCTCACTGTACAAGCCTGACTCAACACAACTTCTCCCTCATCTTTTCTTTTTTGTTTACCTGCGGCCATGGACGTTCATGACTCTCCAGATACTTTCTCTCAAAACAAAAAAGAAAAAAAAAACAAAAACAACCCAGTGGCAGTCTGAATTTCCTGTGGAATCTTAGAATCCGTTACTTTGTGTCCTCATCAGATACTTGCAGAAACCGTCTGCCTTCAGTCCTAATGATGCAGGCAACACATACATGGCAGGAAACAAGCGGTGTCTTCTCTCTGTTAAAACCTCCTTGTTGGCAGTCTAGGTGGCTATGATGTAAAGTGATATTCTGGCTACTCTGCAGAGTTCCATATGTGCATAAACACAGATTCACCTTGTTCACTGTCACGGGAGGCTACACTATAGACTGAAATGCCACTGGGACCGGCAAAGCCCTGAGGCCATGGAGCCTCGTTTGCGGGTTAACTCTTGGCCCCTACTGCTTCCTGACTGGCTGGGTTTGTGCACAGAGAAACAGTGGCTCTGCATGGCTGTGTCTTAACTGCTGGCACAGAAGTACACGGCAGAGTCATCCGGTTCTACAGACTTGACATGAAGATCCAGATGAGCTCTATCTGGAGACTGAGGTGAGAAGCGACTTGGAACTGATTCATTTACAATGAGTTGCTTATTGTTGTAGCTAAACATAGCCTTCAGCAATTGCTTAGAGTCTTGCTTGTACCAGTACATAGTGTCATGGCCCAGATCTTGTTCACACTTGAGAGAGGCTTTATTTCCCACACGTGTGACAAGATATTGTGGCTTCTGGAAAACAGCTGTCTCCAGGGGACCTGTTTGGGGAAGGGGGGGGGGAGTCAGAATTCAGGAAAATTTCACAAGTAGGCATGCTCAAAGGACTCAAATACTCTAGGAACTCAAATACTCACCTACTCCCCAGAGGCAGAAAGCCACACAGCTTAGTAACCTGGAGCCCATGGTTGGGTCAGGGTAGACCAGATAAGTCCCTACCCTCAGGGTTCTACTGCAACTATCAGACCAGGCAGGAGGATCCACTATAGCTGACACGTGATTTGTCCCTCTACTCCCAAAGCCAGAAAGGCACTTGATTCACAAATGCAGACAGACACACCCACACGGGAATGGGGTCGGCGGCAGAGGTAGAGGCAGAAAGGCAGAGAGGAAGACAGGCGTTGGTTGTATGACCAGCAGGAAAGCAGATGGCTCATGGGCGTTCTAATGATCACAGCACCGGCTTTAAGGCTCCAGGAGAGAAGGGAAGAGTAACTACGAACCTTCCTGGAAGGTCAAGCGCAGCTCATTTATTTCAGACATTAAATGCCAATGTAGTGCAGAGAAAGACTAAAATAATCTCATTCTCAGGATATTAATGCTCTCAAAGAAATAAAGAACATGGGATCCAGGCGTGGGGTCCTAACTCAGAAGGCTGACACAGGAAGATTGCTGAGTTCAAGGCCAACCTACCTACAAAGTGAGTACCAGGCCAGCCAGAGCTAAAGAGCAAGGCCCTACCGCATAAAAACAAATCTAGGAAAGATACAGACACCCGGTAGGTCAAGAATCCGAAGTTCATTCATGCTGTGTGGGATCGGGAATTCATCTCAAAGCACTTTATGCAGGGTCCCATTTCCTCATCTGTAAACAGTGAAATCTAAAGTTCTGGAAACATCCATTTGGCGCCTTCAGCGGGCACTACTTCACTGTGAGAAGGAGGGAGAAAGGAAGAAGACAGGGAGAGAGCAGAAAGGGAGGGGAGGGGAAGGGAGGAAGAGGCGGAGATGGAGAGAAGAATAGGAAAGAGACGGAAACAAGGAAGAGATGTGTCCGGTGGCATTGTGAGGGACAGGTCACAACGGCGACCACAGCCTTGCAAACAAGTGAAAAATCCCTGAAGAGCAGTTTTAAGTAATTATCTACCCTACCATTTTCTACAAATATTCTTGACACAATCAGGTAAACAACCCCTAAAATTATGCTGAAAATGACCCCGACAAACAAAACAACAATCCCCCCTCCCTCCCCAACGGGAGGCAGTGTTGGTTCTAAGCACTGATGAATATTTCTTTCTAAGAATTAAAAGAAGAAGTTGCTACGAGTTTTCAATAACTGAAGGGAGGACAGGGAGAAACAAACTTTGTTATAGTTTCCTTCCTGACAGGTCTAGCCGAGCAGCAGGAGGGGAGTCCTGACCACAGAGAGCCCAGGGCTGACTCTGCAGTCCCTGGCAAGTGTCAGGCTTCTGTAAGAAAAGTAGGGGGGTGGGGTGGGGTGAACATGAAGCGATTGTAGCTTGGCTGTCACCTAAAATTAGAAACGGAATGCATAGGAGCTTTGGGAAGGGGCAGAAGCCTGGAGAAGAACAGGACAAACAGGAAGTGGGCTGAGGCTGCCTGGTGTTCCTTTTGCTCACTGATCCCGAATTTGGCTTCCTTTAAGCTCCTTACATTTGGCGATGCTGGGGAGTGTAC